TACTACTACTACTACTACTACTACTACTACTACTACTACTACTACTACTACTACTACTACTACTACTACTACAATTACTCCTCCTCCTCCCCCCCCCTCCTTCCACACTCCCCTCTTTCCGCCTCCACATCATCCTCCTCCTCTGGCTCCTCCTTCTCCTCTTCCTCATTCTCCTTCTCCTCCTCCTCATCCGCCTTCTCCTAATCCTCCTCCTTCTGCTCCCACCTGTCTCGGTGAGCGCGGGCTGGTACAGGCTGAGCTCCATACCATGTGGTTTCAGGCCGCCACGTCTGGATGAGAAATGGTGGGGTGTTGGGTTATGGACCAGGCTGAAGTGGAGGGTGAGGAGTGCAGGGTCCTTACTCATACGTGGTTTGGGCCGTCGACAAGACCTGCCCCTGGCTGAGGCTCAGAGGAGCAATTATCGCCTCCGTTTGGTAGAGCTCAGCAGACTGAGGTCCTCGAGGTCCTCGGCCGACCGACCTCCGCCCTTCTCCTTCCCCTCGGTGCTCCAGGCTGGGCTGGTGAACGTCCTCAAGGTGCTGCGCCACGGTTGCGCCCCCTTGGATACCCGAGCCCGTGATTCAGCATTTCGAAACATGCGGCGTGCAGAGGCTTGGTGCGCCGGGAGCAGGAGGCCCCACGCGGACCTGTAGCGAGACAAGCTTGAGCGACGAAAAGAGACCGCGAGATGACATAACCTAACGCCGCGGCTTACGCGGGCCGCCGGCGCGGCACGCTAGATGTGTAACGAGGGCGCTTACGCGCGACCTTACGCGGGCAGCTCACGCGCCAATGTCGGTGACTACGAACCCGTTGTCCTTCATCGCTCACTGGGGGTCAGGTCGGCCACTCATTCTCGAAGACTGGCGCGCTTGAAGTTGTCCAGGCGAAGGCCCGCTCAGGCCCGTGACTCTGCGGGCCTCCAGAGGCTCGATGAGATCGATGTGCCAAGCAGGCGGACGAGGAGGCGAAGCGGGGGGGCGCACGGCATTGCCTCCCAGTCTGGCTGAAGAGAGTCTGGCTGGGGCGCTCGAGCAAATTAGTTTATACCTGTGCGCAGTTTGTCGCAACACCTCGTCTTCTGGTTCAGGCTCAGCTCAGGATCATCCGAGGACGTAACGCTGGCGGAGGCACACCCGCGCAGGAGGCACGCGCGCGAAGAGGGCCATCCCTGGCTGGATGCGGCGCTGACGCTGCAGGCCGCGAGGTGCCCGTAGGGAGAGCGCGGGCCTTGTCGTCGAGGGCGGCCGAGGGATCCCTCCTGGGACCTCCATCCGCCACCTCCTCCTAGGCTCAGGGAAAGAAGGCCTGGCGGTGCCAGAACCTGGGGCAGTGACAGGCACGCCCGCGCCTTGAAAGGCGAGCACGCCTGCATGAACGCACCAACCAAGGACGCCAACTTCTCACCCGCCGCGGCCGCCCTGCCTCAACCACCGCTGCGCCGTCACGTATTCGTGCATGGTGGAGGCTTCCGGTTTGTGGCAGCTGCGGGCCGCTTTCCAACGGCACGGCCAGCAAGATGTTGCAGACCTGTTCGCGAACTCGCATGCATAGTGCAATCAAATGCCCTCGCGGCGAGCACCCACGTGCTGGCGTCGGGCTGTGTGCGGGTGAGGCAAGGCCCCTCTTCCCAGAAGATCCTGCTGCTATGCGTGCCCAACTGCAAGCAACATAAGGTCCACAACGTGGACTCCCCTAGCCGGAGCTGCCCGCAAGTGTTGCCTGGAGAGGACTTCAGCGAGCTGCGTCGCGCAACGTGGGGAAGCAACCCTCCCCTGGCTGCTCAGCTCAGTTCAGTAGTTCAGTTGGCTGCACTGCGCCCGCATGTGCCCTGAGTGGCCGCACCCCCGTGGGCATGCAGCCTGACCTGGACTGGCCCTCTTCCCCCCTGGAGTGCCCTAAGGGGGGTCAGGGCGTAGGGGGGGTTGGCCTGGCCCCTTGCGCCCACGACGCCCGGCCCTGGGGGCCTGGAGAAGAGGTTCGGGGCGAGGGCGGAGGAGGGCGGAGGAGGGCGGAGGAGGGCGGAGGAGGGCGGAGGAGGGAGGAGGAGGGAGGAGGAGGGAGGAGGAGGGAGGAGGGAGGAGGAGGGAGGAGGAGGGAGGAGGAGGGAGGAGGAGGGAGGCTGGGCCCAGCCTGGCCCAGCCCTTCTCTTGCCATCGCCCCCCTGTCTTGGGATCCACCGGTCCTTCCGTCTCCGCCTGGCCCGCTCCCCGCCCCCCCTGCTCCAGGCTCGGAGCCCCGACTCCCCGCCGCCGCCGCCTCCTCGCTGCAAGTCTTCGTCTCCCTCCTCGCCCCCTCGTCTTCCCCTCCCCCCCCTCCCCCCCCCCCTCTCCTCCCTCCGACTTCCCCCTCATCCGTCCTCCCTCCCCCCTCCTCATCCTCCTAATCCTCCTCTGCTTCTCCTCCTCCATTCCTTTTCTTTGCGAACAACTGTTCCCTCTCGCACCCCGAGGCCGGTCGGAAGAGTTGGCTGGACGTGTCGCCCGAGACTTCCTTCCCATGTATGATCCTGGAGCTTTCAACCTGGCAACAGTTTCACGGATGGAAGGCGGGCCGTTTCCAAAATGTAGCTCTCGCCTTCGCGCCGCGCACATGCGTCTTAAACGTCGCAACAGCTTCACGGCTTGAGGGCGGGAAGTTTTCAAAATTCGGCTCTGGCCTTAGCACCGTGTACAGTTCGCTTTAACAAGTTCCAAGAGTTTCACATGTTGAAGGCTGGCCGTTTTCAAAACGTAGCTCTCGCCTTAGCGCCGCGTGCAATCGCTTTCAACGTTTTGCAAGAATTCACGAATTGAGGGCGGTTTCTTGTCAAACTGAGGTTATGGCCTTAACGCCACGAACATACGCTGTCAAACAATTGTAAGAGGTTTGCGGGTTCCCACGGTTCGCGTGCCCGAAGTTGCCTTCTGGAGCGATTCTGGCTAGGCAGGGCGCAACAGCTACGTTGAGTCGCGGCGTCGAAGTCCAAGGGATAGTGTTCTGCAGGACTCAAGATCGCCAAGACGCAACAATCATATTGATTCGTGGCGTTGAAGTCCCGAGAATGGTGTTCGGCACGCTTTAAGATTGTCAACTGGTTGTCTCCCAACGGGGCACTTTCTTCAGTGGATATGACACCGAGTAGGGGCCTAAGAAAAGGGAGCTTGGAGGGAGGGTTTACACTGAGTCCTCCTTCGCCCTGGATTTACACTGGTCCTCCTCCTCCTCCTCCTCCTCCTCCTCCTCCTCCTCCTCCTCCTCCCGACGCTTCTTCCTCCTCCTCCAACTCCCCCTCCCCCTCCTCATCAGCTTACTCTCCATCTCCTCTTCTCCACTTCCTTCTCTTCCCCCTCTTCCCCCTCCTCTCTCTCTCTCTCGCTTCCTGACGTCCTTCCTTCCTTCCCTCCTCCCCCCCTGTCCCCCCCCCACACACACAGCGAATCCAGAGATCCGAGCGGCCGCCGCCTAGAAGAGTCACATGACTCTTATAAACCGCGCTCTGTCCACGCCCCTTCTCCGTCCCTCTCCCCTCGCCCCCCCCTCCCCGCCTCGCGTCTGCGCCTCGGCACTCTGCCGGCGGCCGCGCCCGACGGGGAGGCGGATGCGGCGGCGCTGCCGCCAGTCGGGGCCTCGGCCCGCTTGGCATCCTCGCGCGCGGGAGCGAGGGGCGGGGCGAGAGAGGGAAGAGGACGAGGAGCAGGAGGGGGGATCAGGGATGGGGGAGGAGGAGGAGGAGGAGGAGGAGGAGGAGGAGGAGGAGGAGGAGGAGGAGGAGGAGGAGGAGGAGGAGGAGGAGGAGGAGGAGGAGGAGGAAGGAGAGGAGGGAGGAAGAGGAGGAAGAGGAGGAGGAGGAGGAGGAGGAGGAGGAGAGGACCAATGCAAACGAAAGGCGCAAAAGTGATGTTGCAATCGACCTTGCATCCAAATTCCCTCTTCGTAGGCCCCTATAAAGATGTGTTGTCGCCCCATTGATAGACAACCGTTCGAGAATCCTCGAGTATGCCAAACCACAGCTCCTGGGACGTAAACGCAGCGAATCAACGTGACTGTTTCGGCCTGAGAATCCTAAATTGTGCCAGAACGCCGTTCCAGAGACCTCAACACAGCGAATCAATGTGATTGCTGCGTCCTGACATTCTTAACTCGCGCCAAAACACCCTCCAGGGACCCCAACCCGACGTCTAAAACCAATGTGCTCGGCGCTGCAGTAAAAGCCACATGATGAAACCCAGCCGCCCCCCCCACCCTCGAAACTGCAGCAAAATCTTCAACGAATGCGCGCGGCGCTACAGCAACATTTTGAAAACGGCCCGCCCTCCATCCTTGAAGCTGTTGCAACTGCCAAATTCCATGATCATAACTGGTGAGGGAGTCTCAGTCGAACGCCAGACCTGCCCCACCGACACGTCAACGTGTGACTTGGATGACTTATTTATATAGAGGATGGAGGAGGAGGAGGAGGAGGAGGAGAAGGGAGAAGGGCGAGGAAGAGGATGAGGATGAGGAGGAAGGAAGGCGCGGAGGGATGGAGGAAAAGAGTGATGATAGGGAGAGGAGGAGGAGCAGGTCGATGAGGAGGAAGAATACGTGGAGGAGGGGGGAAAGGAACTTGAGAGCGTATGACAATGAAGAGGAAAACGAGGAGGACGAGGAGGAGGAGGAGGAGGAGAACGACGAGGAAAAGGAGGAGGAGCAGGGCCAGTATAAACCCAAGACTCATCAACGACATTGAAATTCACCCTGCCTCCAAGATCCCACTTCGCAGGCCCCTATAAAAGGTCAACTCCAATGAAGGAGTTCCCCCCTTCGAGTACGACCGTGGTAACACCTTGCAACGTGCCACAACGCCATTCTCATGCCTTCAACGCCACGAGTTAATATGATTGCTACGTCATGGCGATCCTGAGTCGTGCCAGAACGCGGTTCTTGGGACTTCAACACAGCGAATCAACGTAACTGTTTCGCCCTGCCAACGCTGAATGGTTCCAAAGCACCATACCTGGCACATTGACCATGAGCACCAATGAAACTCCCGCGAATGTTTAAAACGAATGTGCGCGGCGCTGGGGGCTGGGGCCAAAACAATATGTTGAAAACGACCCGCCCTCAGTCCGTGAAGCTCCCTCAAATGTTTAGAACGAATGCGCGCGGCGCTAACGCGAGAACCAAATGGTGAAAACGAACAGCCCTCTGAAGCTCTTGCAATTTGTTAAAGAGAAGGTGCGCGGCGCTACAGCGAGAACCTCATTGTAAAAACGAACCGCCCTTAATATGAAGCTCTTGCCATTGTTTAAAGCAGGATGTGCGCGGCGCATTTTGAATACGACCCGTCCTAATTCCGTGAAGATATCGCGCATGTTTAAAACGAATGTGCGAGGCGCAAGAGCGAGAGGCACATTTTGAAAACCACCCGCACTCAATCCGTGAAGCTCTGGCAAAGTCGTAAAACGAATCAGCGTGGCGCTAAGGCGAGAGCCACATGTTGGAAGCGGCACGCCCTTCATCTGTGCAACTGTTTTCAATTTTCCAGCACCAGAGTCATAAGAAATGAAAAAGCCCCAGGCGAACCGCTCGGTCCGCCCTTTCGACCGGCCTAGGGGTGCGACAATGGGTGGGGCAGTCTACAAGGAAAAGGAATGGAGGAGGAGGAGGAGGAGGAGGCGGAGGAGGAGGGGAAGGAGGAAGACGACAAGATCGAGCTCCGGATCGAGCCGTATTGTCGATGCCGCGCAATCCCCAACCCCGCCTGGCCCCATCTGGGAGGCCCTGTTCTGAATGGCCTGGTTTTCCGGGAGGGGCACCTGCCGCACGCAGCACTGCCCCTGGACACCTCCTCCTCCTCCTCCTCCTCCTCCTCCTCCTCCTCCTCCTCCTCCTCCCACGCGCGCAGGCCGCTGCTGGAGGGGGAGCTCTGGGGGCGCGCGCCGCGTGCCACCGCTGCACGCGGCCGACGGGGGCTGGAGCCCCGGAGCTCGCCCGCGAGCAGCAGCGGCAGCACCGGGCAGCACCAGCGGCGGAGGCACGCGGCAGGGGCGGCGCTGGGCCAGAAGGAAGAACAGACAACTTCGCGCGCCCCTTCGACTTCGGACACCACGCGCGGATTGCTGGGAGGCGGCGCTGGCCTCCACCACCCTGCCGCGCGGAGCGCGCCGGGGGCGACGGCGGAGGCGTCGTCAGGGGGGACCAGCGCCTATCCGAGGAATCCGCGCGGACCCCCGAAGGTACAAACCTATGCCGTGTCTTCATCCGAGCTTAGAGGGCTCCTGGATGGGGTCGGAGTAGATGGGGTCGGAGGACCGCGCCGCACCGCCGAAACATCGGCGATACGTCGGCGATGTATCGGCGATGTGTCGGCGATGCACCGGCGATGAGGCGTCAACGTGGGCGATGCATCGGCCACGTCGACGTGAAGGAAATCGGGCTCCACATCGAGCTGCATCGGCGATGCATCGGCGATGCGGCGCGATCCTCCGACCCCATCTACTCCGACCCCATCCAGGAGGCCTAGAGAGATAGGGGGGTGCGTGGACATGGATTTAGAAGTACTTTGGCTAAGCGGCTATGTCTAAGCGGCCGGGTCGCTGGGCCATCGCAGCCAGCAGCAGCCCACGGATTCCAATGGCTTCGGCTCCTTGGCTCTTGCCAAGTCGAGCGGGCCGCCACCGACCCCGGGGCAGGCGGGGGTGGGGTCGAAAACTCGACGGCGAGCAGCACTGGTAGCCACACACACAACACACACACAGCACACACAACACACACACACACACCACACACACAACACACACACAACACACACACACACACACCACACACACATCACACAACACACAACACACAACACACAACACACAACACACAACACACAACACGCGGCCGGCGGCGGAGGCAGGCGGCGTTGGGCTGGAAATGATCAGCGGCTGCAGAAGCACAAAACGTTCGAGGCCCGCGCGGAGCTCTGGGACTCGGCGCTGTGCCGCCCACCCTGGCGCGCACCAGCGCCGATCAGAAGACATCCGCGCGGAGCTGTGGAAGCTTACGCCCGTGCCGAGCTTTCTCGTCTCCGAGGCTGGGGGGGCGACTCCGAGCAGATCTTGTCCAGGCGGCGGAGGCAACGGCGACGGCGACGGCGGCGACGAGGAGGGGGGGAGGAGGAGTGAGTGAGTGAGTGAGACCAGTCGCGAAGCGAATCCCACACCACCCTGCGGACGCCTTCGAGCGAGCAACGCGGCCTTGCTGAGAGCCTTCGGCCACCGATCGGTGGGAATCCGATTTAAATACTCGCGTCGATTCGCATTCGTACGCAGCGCGGCCAGGCGCGCGGCGCTCGATGCAGCCTGTAGGTTGGTCCAGCGCCTCACAGCCGAGCTGCACTCAGTGCAGGAACGCCTTGAGGCCGCGGGCGAGGCGCTGGATACGCTGAACTGAAGCTTGGGGCTCAAGTGTCTCGAGACTACGATCTGCGCACGAACTTGAGCAGGGACCGACCGTCCCGAGACTTCTATAGGCCTACCACGACATGTTCTCAGAGCCCAAACATGTTCTAATAACAAGATCAATGTTCTTAAGCCCGATGTGTTAAAACAAAGCAGTCCCAGCCAGAAATGTTCTAAGAACATTTCGTGCAGACCACAAAAGGTTATGAAAACATTATCCGGTAGGCCTATAGGCGAGCTAGGTCGCTTCGTCACTGCTTGACGAATGCTGGCGCCCGCCAGGGGTGCCTCCCGCAGGAACGCCACGCTCGCACCGCCCGCCGCACCAGGGGGAGTCCGAGCCAGGCTTGAGCCAAGATGGCTTCGGAGGAGGAGGAGGAGGATGGAGGAGCAGGAGAAGGGAGGAGGGAAGAGGAGGAGGAGGAGGAGGGAAGAGCAGGCGGGAGGAGGAGGAGGAGGAGGAGGACGAAGAGGACGAAGAGAGGAGGAGGAAGATGACGAGGAGAAGGAGGAGGCGGCGGTCCTCCCAAATCTGTTCGCCTGCTCGCCCGGCTCTGCGCGAAGCCCATCCCGCCGCGGGGGCTCTGGCGAAACGGCGAAGGGGAACCTGCACGATCCTTCAGCACCGGGGCTGGGGTGCCGCCGGGCTGCCCTTTGATAGAGGCCTCCGAGATGGGGTCCGAGTAGATGGGGTCAGAGGATGGCGCCGCATCGCCGATGCATCGGCGATGCATCGCGGATGCATCGGCGATGCATCGGCCACGCACTGGCGAGAGAATATTGGGCCCCACATCGAGCCGCACGCTGATGCGTCGCCGATGCATCGGCGATGCGGCGCGATCCTCCGACCCCATCTACTACGACCCCACCTAGGAGGCCTAGAAGCACCGGGGCCAGGGCGCGCGCGCGACGGGCGCGGAGCGCGCCGGGGGCGGCGCCGGAGGCGCCGCCGGGGGGGCCCAGCGCGGATCCAAAAAAATCCGCGCGGAGCGCCACACGTGTATGTTTATGGCATCTCTTCTTCCTCGACTCTGGGACCGCCTGCTTGATGAGCCCCAAGCGGACACTGAGTGAGACCAGGCGTGCCTGCCGCTGCGCGGCGGCGGCCTCGCAGCGGGCGCGGCCGAGCCCAGGCTCGGAAGCTGCGCGCGTGGCCGCAGAGTGCGCGGCGGCCCGCACGGTCGCGCGCCGCCGCCCCCGGTACGGGGCAGCGCCGAGGAGCTCCTCGCGAGGCAGGCCACGGGCACGCGGGGCTTCGCCAGCGCGGTGGCCGCGATTACCACGCCAAGGTGGCCAACACGGCCCACTACCTGCAGGGCGCAGGAGGGCGAGTGCGGAGGCCCAGGCGACGGGGCCTTCACGCTGCTGCCTACGGTGCAGCACGGGATGACGGCTGACCTGTACCGAGTGTCCTTGCGGAGGCGCCTTCAAATGGAGGGCCCGCGGATGCTGAAGGGTCATGCACTGCAGACGCACTGTCAGAACAAGTCACGCGACGGGGCGGTTTGCGGAGCGATGCATGATCCCGATCAGCACGATGCCATCGCGTGCGAAAGGGGGCCCACCCGCACTGGGCGGCACGACAGGATCCATGATCTGTTGGCGCGCTGGTTGGCCAAGCGGGTGCCTGGCCTTGTGCGCACCGATCAGACGGTGCCGCAGTGGCTCCGCCGGCACTGGGACCCAGCAGCCCGCCAAGAGCGCGCAGAACTGGCGGCGGTGGAAGTCAATGGTGCGAAAAGGGCTCGTGGCACGTCGTGGACGCGGTGGTTGCGAGCCCATACTCCATCGACCCACGCGAGGAGCGGGCCAAAGCAACCCACACGGGCTTATCGGCCGAAGACGCAGCGCGCGGCAAGCAGCTGCGGTACCCGCCGTGGCCCACCGCGCCTCTGCTGACGCCCTCTGCGGTGGAGACAGGCCGCATTGGCGATGCCGCCAGGCAGCTGAGCCTGGACAGGCTGGGCCGCTGGGACGGCGAGGCCGGCACCAACGCAGATGCAGCGGCGCTTTGGCAGGCACCCTCGGCTATCCTGCAAGCAGGGGTGGCCGAGCAGATTCTGGCCGCTCACCGGCCAGCGGCCGTTGGCGGCGGGCGCTGAGCGAGCAGGACGGCGGAGGCAGGAGGCAGGAGGAGGAGGAGGGCGAGGACAACCAGCAGGGGATGATGATGATGATGATGATGATGATGATGATGATGATGATGATGATGATGATGATGATGATGATGATGATGATGATGATGATGATGATGCTGATGCTGATGCTGATGCTGATGCTGATGCTGATGCTGATGATGAGTGATAATGCTGATGCTGATGATGATGATGATGATGATGATGATGATGATGATGATGATGATGATGATGATGCTGATGCTGATGCTGATGATGCTGATGCTGATGATGCTGATGCGATGATGATGATGATGGAATGATATGATGATGATGATGATGATGATGATGATGATGATGATGATGATGATGATGATGATGATGATGATAAGGAGGAGAGGAGGAGGAGGAGGAGGAGGAGGAGGAGGCGGAGGGCAACCCCTGGCCAGAGCGCGCCGACGAGGAGAAGAGGAGGCAGAGGGCGAGAATGAACACATCGAGGAGGGAGGAGGAGGCGGCGGCGGCAGAGGAGGAGGAGGAGAAGGAGGGAGGAGGAGGAGGAGGAGGAGGAGACGGCAGCAGAGGGCAATGAGGAGCAGGTAGAGGCTGAGCAGGAGCAGGCCGCCCACGCCACTCGCGTGGCTACCGACCGCACTGAGAGCGTCGCCGCCGCTCCCGTCGTGACCGCCGCGGGCAGCGCCGCCTGAGGGCAACCCCGCACGACCGCCGACTCCGCCCCACAACCCACCACGACCGCCGACCCCCGCCGACCCCCCCACGACCGCCGACCTACGCCTCCCGTCCACCCTTCGGTCTCACCCCCGTGCGATACACCGCTCGGCTTCGAGGCTCCCAGGGCCAGTCTGCACAGGAGGCCAGTTCCAGGCTGCATGCTCTCCTCCTCCCCCCCGAGATCTGGGTCAGGGGCATTTCGCCCGCAGACGGGTGGAGGCCTTAACGATTGTTGTGCTGGGGGATACTGCATGACAAGCCTGACCGTGGTGGGCACGCACCTCAAAGCTAGGTGCGTGACGGGGCTGCGGAGTAGACCAGATGATGAGGAGGAGGAGGAGGAGGAGGAGGAGGAGGAGGGTAAGGAGGAGGAAGAGAAGGAGGAGGAGCAGGAGGAGGAGGAGGCGGAGGAGAAGGAGGAGGAGGAGGAGGAGCAGGGGGAGGCGGAGGAGGAGGACGAGGACGAGGAGGAGGAGGAGGAGGAGGAGGAGGAGGAGAACGAGGAAAAGGAGGAGGAGCAGCAGCAGCAGGAGCAGGAGGGGGATAATGCAGGGGAAAAGAAGGAGGAGGCGGAGGGGAGGAGGAAGGAGGAGGAGAGGAGGAGGAGGAGGGGGAGAGGAGGAGGAGGGGATTGATGATGAGGATGGAGGAGGGGATGTGGAGGAGGCGGAAGAGGAGGAGAGGAGGAGGAGGTAGGAGGAGGAGGCGAGGAGGAGAAGGACGAGGCGGAGGAAGAGGAGGAAGAGAGGAGAGGAGGAGGATGAGGAGGACGAGGAGGAGGAGCGGAGAGGAGCAGGGGGAGGCGGAGGAGACGCGACGAGGAGGAGGAGAGGAGCCGAGAGAGGAGGAGGAGGAGGAGGAGGAGGAGGAGAAGGAGGAGAACGAGGAGAAGGGAGGAGCAGCAGCAGCAGCAGGAGCAGGAGGGAGGATAATGCAGGGAAGAAGGAGGAGGCGGAGGAGGAGGAGGGGGGAGGAGGAGAGGAGGAGGAGAGGAGGATGTGGAGGGCGGAAGAGGAGGGAGGGAGAGGAGGAGGAGGAGGAGGGAGGAAGGAGGAGGAGGAGGAGGAGGAGAATGGAGGAGGAGGAGGCGGAGGAGGAGGGGAAGAAGTAGCAGCAGCAGGAGCAGGAACAGGAGGGAGCTAATGCAGGAGAAGGATGAGGAGGCGGAGGAGGATGAGGAGGATGAGGAGGAGGTGGAGAAGGAGGAGAAGGAGGAGGAGGAGGAGGGATCGAGGAGGGAAGAGAGGAAGGAGGAGGAGGAGGAGGAGGAAGAGGAGGAGGAGGAGGAGGAGGAGAGGAGAGAAGGAGGAGGAAGGAGGAGAAGGAGGAAGAGGAGGAGGAGGAGGAGGAGGAGGAGGAGGAGGAGGAGGAAGAAGGATGGTGTGTGTGTGTGTGGGGGGACACTCGCTGGCGAGCAGCAGCAGCGGCGGCTGCGTCTGGCGGCAGAGACCGGCGGGCGGGAGCGCGGAGAGTGGGGCGGCAGCCGCAGGCGGGGCGTCCAGGGCGATCTGCAGGGCCGCGGCCCGGGGTCGGCCAGGCGAGTGCTCCCTGCCCGACCCGCGCGCCGCTCGCGGCAGGGGCGGTGCGCGCGGCCGGGGGCGCTTCTGCTCAGTCGGGGGGGGGGCGGCTGAGAGGGCAGGGTGCCGATCGAGCGCGCTCGAGGCCTACGTGCGCGCTCGGGGGAGGGGGAGGGGCGGTACATACTCGAACGCTGTAGGCGAACATAGCTGCCAGGTGCGACTTGCTCCATGCAGGGCGCTGCAGCCTCCTCCCTGGCCCAGCAACGCGCGCGTGGCCAGTTCCACCTCGCAACTGTGCCTGCACTTCTCTCCCCACTGCACTCGGGCTCATGGAATCGCAGTGGCGTGATAATGAATCCGCACTGCCGCGGGAGGGAGCGGAGGCGGAGGCGGAGGCGGAGGAGGAGGAGGAGGAAGAGGAGGAGGAGGCGGAGGAGGAGGAGGGCGAGGAGGAGGAGCTTAAGTGGCATGTCCCTGGGTGATGTCATGATGCAGCACTAACTGACCTGGGCTGGTGCCAACAAGTGTGCTGTGCACTGCATGACTCGCCGTTCCAATACCCGCAGTGCCCACAGGGTGTGGAGGAAGACGGTGACGGGAGAGGAGGGAATGGGGGAGGACGAGCAGGATAAGCAGGAGGGGGGAGGAGTTGGAGGCCGGGGAGAAAGAGCGACTGCGCACTCGATGTGGAACATCCGATCAGCAAAAGGCGGTCGCCGTCTCCAGCATGGCGGCACCCGCCCGCGAAATTTACATGGCCCGAGCGACAGACAGGCAACACGTCAAGGTTGGAGACACGCGTAAGATGACGCTCGTGCCCGACATATGCCTTCGCCAACAAAAAACACGTGAATGCGCCGCTCGATCTCAACGCAAACCATGAGGGAGACACCGCGCATGACCAGTGACGCGACCGATCGACCTTAGTGTACCTTTAGGTCGCAGTCGGCATCAATCGCAACAGCCGATCCAGTGCGAAGGTACCAGTATAACCGATACGATCTACTGTATGTCTTTCTCGTGCGTCCCGATAGTTGTGCATGCGTGAGGAGCGCTCGTGCCATCTTCCTGTCAGTCCCATGCTCTCACGCAACTGCGTTGGTCTATGCACCTCCCCCTTCGGAACCCTCCCTAGGCGCTGAGCAATCATGGCGTCTGTCACCGACTCGGCACCTTCGGCTCGGATGCATCAGGATATCACCCCGGCCAAAGATGTTGTCGGCATGACGCCCAGAGGCACCAGCAGATGCCGACCCTAAGAAAGGACGACCGTCGGCCGCGCGCCCAGGGGGCAAGTGATGGGGGCAGGCCTTCTCAGAAGGCGGCGGGGCATCTCAGAAGCCCTCTGGCCTTCTGAGAAACCGCCTCTGCCTTCGGAGGAGGCTCACACATCTTCTCGGAAAGCCCGAGGACTTCCGGGCCTTCCGAGACGGCCCCGCGCCCTCTGCATCCCCCCCACCCCAGGCTCGCCGCCGCCTTGAGAGAAAGGACGACCACGAAAGTCGAACGGGTGCGCAAGCTGACGCGGTGGCTTCGATTCAGCGGCACGCGCGCGCGCAAAGCAACGCTCGACGCCGGCGGCGATCTCTCGGAGAACACCGAGGCTTCGAGGGGGCCCTCGGGGGCCCCTGGGCTGGCGCGACGCGGCGGTGTTCCCCCGACGCGTCGACCCCAGCATCCCAGGCCCAGGCATGGCGGAGCAGTGGAATGGCATGCTGGCAGGGTCCCAGGGGGGTCGTCCCGAGGCGGGGCCCAAGAGTGTCCCGGGAGGCCTCGAGAGCGTGCCAGGAAGCCCGCAGCAGGCCTCCGAGAGGCTGCCAAGAGACTCCCAGAGGCCAAGGTGCAGCTCATCCACGACCGAGGCGCGGTTTTGGATGGGCGAATTGCCACTTGATGCCTTGGTGTGAGGGAGGGGGTCCTGTTGGAAACTGGTCCTGGACGCTGGGCCTTTCAGAGGGACCAGATCTTCGCCCGAGTAGTTTCTTGACCGCCCTGGGGGCAGGGGGAAAGCCTCGGGAGCCCGAAAGGGGCGAGACAACTCTCGTCAGGACTCCTTTCCCCAACGACCCTTTTCATTCGTGCTGGGTGCAAGGCCAGGGTCATTTTCCCCCCCAAGGTTGCCCTGAAGGACCCCAGGGTGCTGGCAGGTTCCCGAGGTTGCCCCGAACGCCCGCACCGGAAGATAGGAACCCCTGAATTTGTTAGACCCGGGCACTCAAAGCCACGGGGAAGGCGAGACTCGGCGGGATCGGAGAGCGAGTTACAGGGCGAAAACGAAGGGGGGACAAAACTGGCCTTAGCTGAGAGTGGGAGCAACCCGTCAAATATATGCTAGACAGGGAGTGAAGCCCGTGCTGCAGTGAACACGGCCACTGATGCGCACCGAGCAACTATTCACCCGCGGGCTGGGGGGCGGTTAAGACAAGGATTAGCAACCAGCCTGTAGGTGGAAACGGATGCAACGTCGTGGTGGGAACGGATGAAGACGAAGATGACAAAGACGGGGATAGAAAGAGGAGGAGGAGGAGGAGAAGAAGGAGAAAGACTTGCCCTCTCCTGATATTTGTGGAGGTCCCCCCAACGACAATCGACCCTGCATCGGTACCAGATCCCCTCCCAGGCACCAGTCTGTTTTTTTGTTTCTTTCTGAAGCGCGTCCAGCTGCGGCGACGAGGATGACCCTGGAATGCAGAGAGTAGACGAGGAGGGGACTCGGTGTGCTGTCCCCGAGTGCAGCTTTGGCTATGCGTCCAAGACAAGAAGCTCTTGCCTGCTGTGGCGGCAGGCCCTCACGCTCCGGGGTGGCGGCCTGCGCACAGCGGAACACAAAAAACATAAGCACAGCTTTCGGAGGTCCGTACGGATGTCTTGAATCTGCGCTGGGCCCCCCTCCCTGGCGCGCAGAGCGCGCCAGGGGTGGCGCCGGAAGCGCCGCCAAGGAGACTCAGCGCCAATCCGAAACATCACTTCGGAGCTCAGGAAATCTACGTGTATGTCGCTTGTCTCCGACTACCTGCTAGACCACCACACAACCCAATCCGAAGACCCGAATGTCGGGGTGGGGGGGGGGTACGGGTTCCCCAATGTTCCCCGGCCCCCCCCCCCCCACAGTGGAAGTCGGGGGTAAATTTGGACCTTCGGGTTGGGTCGGGGCGGTCTGGTGGGTGGTGAGCCTCTCCGTCGGCGACCGGCGCGGGCGCTCCTCCCTCGCCCGCGGGCGCCGCGTGGCCGTCGGGGTCGACAAAGCCCCGCAGTGCCGCCGAGGCCTCCGCGAGGAGGCGCGGGGCCTCCGTTCGCTCGCGCCTCGCCGCCGCGGCCTCGGCGGGGGTACGCACGTGCCGCGCCCTCGCCGCCCGCTTCCGGGCCGCTTCTCCGCGCGGAGCCGATATGGGCCGCGCGGGCCGCCTGCGCCGCCCGCGGCGCCGCCGAGCGCGCAAGCGCAGACCTGGGCGTAGGTCGGGCACGCCCCCCTACAGGCAGATTTTGGACGATGCATGAAAAAGTGAAAGAACATGCTCAAACATTGCCAACCAAATACTTTAAACAATCGTCAGAAATGGTAAACCAAATACTTTGGAAAATCGTCCGCAGACTATGTTTGGACTAATTTTGGATAGTTATTCCCCCTGCAGAGGGGCACGCCCGACTGAAAAAACCTGGGCGCGGCTGCCAGCGCGGAGATCTGCGCGGGTGGTGGTGCCGCCGCGGGCACCGCTGGCCGGTGGGGGAAGGCGGACGGGTGGCCTCTGTTCGCAGCCCTGCGGCAGAGCGGGTCGGCATCCGCGCTGCCGGGGTGGTGCCTCTTGCCGAGCTTCGGTCGCCCGACGCGGGCCACCTCTTCGGTCCGCTCCGCACGGGGCGGATTCGTGGCTTCAGGGGCTGCCGCCGTGGCGTCACCCAAAAGCCCTTCCTCTGCAAAGACGACTGGGATGAGTCGCCCTCCCTCTGGCACGTACGTATCCCGCGTGCTGTGCTCCGCGAGCGTGGCTGCCAGGCCGACCTTGCCGCGAGCAGGACACACTCGTGTCCAGAAGTGACGTCGAACTTCGCACCCTCGGAAGGCAACGTCCGTTGTATCCCCCTGTCCTGGGAACTGACCCCTTGCTCCGGCTGCGCCGCGTCACTGGTGGTCCACTGGTGGCTGTTGGCAACGACGTCCATGAAACCGAGTTGCCTGTTTTTTTGGTATCGTCGTCCTTCTCTTCCTCCTCCTGTCACGCACGCCGCATCCTCATGCTGCTCCTCCTCATACTTCGTAAATGGGATAAGGATGGGACGGAAGAGGAAGAAGAGGAGGAAGGATGGAGAAGGACGGGACGTGGGAGACTGATGATTGGGAGGGCTGTGGAGAAGGATCAGAGCAGAGCATAATCTCATGGAGTCCCTTTCCAGCTTACAAAAATTGGCGAGGCCGAGTACAACTGAACTGTCCTCTGAGAGGGTTCCTTCGAAACCACGCAACTTACGATACAACCCCCACTAATGGTCACAGCACAAACTGCACTGGCCAACTCGCGCCCATATGGGCACGGAACTCATCAGAGGGGGCCAGCACTCAGGCGCGACGACCCCGTCCCCTCCCACGCCCATTAAATCTCCCCCCCCCGCCTCCTCGTCCCAGAATGTCGGCCTCCTCGGCCACAATTCAAAGGCATATAAAATATGGGAAGCTGTAGTGCTGCACTCACCGCGAACCCCTCTGGAAGATTAGCTGGGGGCCTATCTATAGCCCTGTCCAATTGCTCCTGTGAAATCCTACCTGCTGCAACTAACTCTGCTACTCTGGTGCTACCGCTCAGTCAATCGCGCCTTCGCAGCCTGCCTACACCGTCGCTTTGCGGTCGCGGGACTTCGAAATCTCCCTCTCCAAAGGCCCGCGTGAGGCCGCGCTGGAACGGAGGGAGCCCCGCTCCGCTGCCATCAACGTCTCAATCATGGGGCCTACTACGGCCCCCATCTGGTTGAGAAGGTCCACCCGAAAGAGGAGCGTGCACATATGAGGCTCTCCTTCCGTCTTGCGATGAGGCCGCGCTTGGCAATGCTGCCCTGCCCACGCAACTTCTTTCACGCTTGCCGTCAATAGCCTCTGATCACGGTAGTCTCATCTATTTCTTCAACTTCTCTGACGTAGCCCTCGCCGATGGGTCTGATTCCTCTGCCACCGTCCTGGTCGCTCCGTACCCAATGCCGCCATGAATGGCATGAGATGTGGCGGGCCGCGATCTTCTTGATTCACCGATTCGCCAACGCCGGTGCGTTCGAACATCTCTTTGCTCTGTTCTTCTCACTGCTTCCCTGCTCCGAGAGTGGCCGCGATCAAACCAGCTCCTGCTAGCAACCAGTACAGTAGATCACAGTAGATCACATGCTGCTCATAGATCTCCGGATTCGCGTGAGATGGCGAACATGAGCTTGCAAATGGTCAATATGATATTGCCGTCTTTGACCTTCAGGCCGCCTGCTCCCGAGTCCGTCCTGCCCTTCTTGGCGTCGGGCGCGGCGCCTGCTGCGCCGACGGTCTCGTCCTTTAAAGCGCTGCGCCGATCAAGACGAGGTACAGCATCTTGTGACTACAATCGTGATTCCACTGTCATCTGTCACGGTACGACTTGACATGACAGGGCCAATTCGGGAAGGGACATGGTTTCGGAAGTGAGGGCAAAACGAAATCGCATCAGCACCCACATGCCCACAGCACTGGCATCCATAAAATGATGGCGTTGAGACTGGCGACACAGTGCAAGGGTCACACTTTGTGCAACATCCATTCTGCAACGATCGAAGTACTAGTCGGGCGGCGGTGACATACGTCGGAAACGTTTGTGGGCATTGAATGCGTGCGATGCATTGCGTTAAGACGTGTGCCAAGCTTCTAAGACAATATCACTGACGTGGATGTTTTAAACACTTCTTCCGTGTAGTTAGTAAAGGCGCTCGTGCAGGGCTCCCCGTCGAGGCCCATGGGGCACTTGCAAGGGCGTGGTTCCCCATTGGGCTCTCCGGGTCCAGCAAGGGGCCCCGCTGGGGGTGCACACCCAGGGGGGGAGCCTGGCTGCGTATCTCCGCCAGATCAACTCTCCGAAATTCCTCAGAAGTATCGCAGATAGCTAGCAGCACAAGGTCCTCTGCATTCTACCTCATTCCTTCGCGCGGAAGGGGCGCGGGGATATGGTCTAGGTCGGAAGCAACTTGTTTTGTCCACGGCAAAACGCGTGCCGCAGGCCCTTCTGAATGCAGTTGCGGCACAGTCGCCTCGATCGGATACGCCCAGAACATCGCGCGCAAAACTTGCATCTGTTCTCCAGGCTGGGCGCTCCGTGCCTGATAAACTTGATTCGATCATGTTTTGTTCTTTGTCCACAATAACGGCCGTCACCGGCCCGCGCCCCCCTCCCCCGTCGTGACGTCACGTTCCGCGCCAGCGGCGTCCGGGAATGCCTAGGGATGACAGATAGGGATGACCGAAGCCAACTAAGAGCAGCATGTAGGTGGCGATCTGCGCCACAACGCCTGCGTACACCGCAGTGCTCGCGTGCACCACAGCGCCTGTGTACACCACAGCGCCTGTGTACACCGCGTCAGCGGTGTGCAACACAGCGCCAGTGTACACCACAATGCTTCCGTCGGCGCTTGTTTGTGTACACCACAGCGAATGTGTATACCGCAGCAGCCGTCTTCAACACACCGCCTGTGTACACTACCATGCTTGCGTGCACCGCAGCGTCTGTGCACACCACAGCGCCTGTGTACACCACAACGTCCGCGTGCAACACTGCGCCAAGTGTACATCAGAGCGCCTGCGTGCACAGGACAGATGGAAGGACCGTGTCTGTGAGGATTCGCTGCAGACGGCTAAACACCACGCAAGGGGCGTCCTGATTCTAGAAAATGAATTTCTTCCATCCCCCCTCCTCCCCCTGAGCTTCAAGGATTGAGGGCGAGTCGTTTTCAAAATGTGGCTCTCGCCTTAGCGCCACGCACACTCGTCTTAAACGAATTGCAAGAGCTTCACGGATTGAGGGCGGGTCGTTTTCAAAATGTGGCTCTCGCCCTAGCGCCACGCACACTCGTTTAAAACAATTGCAGAGAGCTTCGCGGATTGAGGGCGGGTCGTTTTCAAAATGTGGCTTTCGCCTTAGCGCCGCGCGCATTCGTTTAACACTTTCGCGATAGTTTCACGGATTGAGGGCGGTTCCTTTTCAAAATGTGGCTCTCGCCCTAGCGCCGCGCGCATTCGTTTTAAACATTTGCAAGGGGTGCACGGAGTCCCATGATCAACGCATCAGGAATGGTGTTTTGAAAGGACTCAGGATTATGCGGGCGCACAGAGTTATGTTGACTCGCTGTGGCGACGGACGTCCCAATAATGGTTTTCTGGCACGAGTCTGCATCCTCAAGACGCAGCGGTCAAATTGATACGTGGCGTTGAAATCCAATGTTTTGGCACGCTTCACGATCTTCAAACTGTTGTCTTCCAGCGAGGCAGTTCCCTCAATGGAAATGAACCGTTGTAGGGCCCTGTGAAGAGAGAGCTTGGAGGAAGGGTTAATTCCAACATCGTTGATGACCCTTGGGTTTCCACTGGTCCTCCTCCTCCTCATGCTCCTCCTCCTCGTCCTCTTCCTCCCTCACCTTTCCCCCCCCTCTGCGCGGGTCAGCGCTACAGCACACGTGCGCATCTCAGTGCGCATCCCAGAAGCATGGTCTTGTACTGGATCAACCCAGTGGGTTAGGACGGCCAACTCTGCGAGAACCTTCTGGACGCAGATGGGAGGAGTCAGGACGATGCGGGAGGACTCGTAGATTCCAGAACCACTCCTTTTTTTCATAAGGACTCCTTCCCAAATCCAAAATGAAACAAATATGTTCAGTAGAATCAACAAGCACTCCCTTTGGTTATAAAGACTCCTTCTGAAATTCTATTCGTATGCAACCAGTGGTGTTCTGTTACATACGGTTGCTGTGGTTAACACAGGCTCCGTGGTGTACACAGGCGCTGCGGTGCACGCAGGAACTGTGGTGTACACTGGTGCTGTGTTGCACGCGGATGCTATGGTGTACGCAGGCGCTGTGGTGTACACAAGCGCTATGGTGCACGCAAGTTCTGTGGTGCACACTGTCTGTGTGTTGCAGGCGGCTGTTGTGGTGTAGAAAGGCGCTATGGTGTGTACACAGGCGCTGTGGTGCACGCAGGCACTGTGGTTCATACAAACGCTGTGGTGCAGATCGCCTCCTGCATGCTTCTCCTACCCGTCCTCGGTCAGTCCTGGGCATTCCCACACGCTGCCGGCGCGAAACGTGACGTCACTGGCCCTCTTCCCTTTCCCCACCCCCGGTGACGACCGCTATCGCTCCCCCTGGAACACAAAAGAACCTCGTCGAATGAGCAGTTTCAGAAAAAAGGGAAACGGCTTCCAATATTCGAATACTTGTTGGTTCGTAAGCGACTTGACGTGGAACCCCTCCGAAAACAGATCCTTCCCCAGCATTGCGACGCGACCTGGCCGAGCCAGACACCCATCCAGAATAGCTGCATCAGTCTCTGTGCTCACGAAAGGCCCCAGCCCACTCAGAAGTTTGTACTGGACGAACCCAATGAAGAGGCTACGTTTCAATCATTGCGGGACGCCCAGGCCCCAAGCCGTGGCCGAGGAGAAGAATCTCAGACTTTGCAGCATTACATCTCTTGAACATCTTAGTTTTGGCAGAAACCGCCATCTGAAATGGGGCCCCAAGTGCCAGGTTTTGTCCTTCGCGGCGCCCTGGAGGAGAGAGGGATCCTGGCGGGTCATCCGCCTGCGCCAATAGCCTCGGTCTGCGAAAGGAAAACAATGAATAATCTTGCTGGCCTACGCTTTGGCCGTCCCCGAAATCCGCCACCTGGAGACCCAGCCTTGCATCAACGTCCGAAACCTGTTGAATGCACTCCGGCAGGCACATCGTAGGTCCAGCCGGGACAAAGCTGCTGATGCCATCAACAGACTTGTACGTGCTGATCATCAATGAGAAGACCCTGAAACGAAGCTCGAACTCGCATGGCCTGAGGGCCTGCCCTGTGCGCATCGCGTCTCCAAATTACGATTGGCCGCGGAAGCAAAAGCACCTTCACGGATAGCAAATGGATCCGAAATCGTACTTCCCTGCGTGGGGCGAGCTACGCGAGGACCATCCAACGCTTCCAATGAAACAACGGCGTTCTGATGACAACGTGCTTCAACGCACTTACGGTCGTGAGGTTGCACGGATACATCGGGTTGGTTCCACACAGAGCTTCCGAACGCGTTGGGCATGTCTTCGAGCGTCATACCGCGAGTGATGCCGCCTGCTCTCATACGGCACGGTGTAACAAGTGCGCCCATCGCCGCGCATTCGCGCCGACGATGACGAAAATAACTATGACTCTGAACAGCAGACGGCGGTCGAATTGAGTAAAATGCTTTGTGGGCCGCCGCCATCACATGAACTACTCGCCGCCCATGTGGTCCTAGTTGGCTGGACACCCAAAGGTGCAATGGTATGCGTTCGTATTTCTGGGAAGCCCACCCCTGCAAGAAACTTGGGACCATCTGCGCCAAGACTAGCAATATCACTGCCCGATCCGTGGCCATGCTGCTGCTTGAACGTCTTCCGCGGCATGCGCATGCCTTGCCACATCTCTACAAGTGCTGCAACATCCAAGTACAGCTCGTCGCTTCGTTGCAAAGCGTATCCGGCGAATCACTCGTTCCGCATCCCCTTCTAGTTCAGACACTTCCTCGCTCGATGTCCAATCGTACTGACCATCTCGTGCGGATCTCCATGTGTCCCTGACTGGTTCGTGTGGGCCGATCGTCAATATAAACTGCCGCCACTGGTGTAGCCGATACCTTGCCTTTCTCTGGCAATCCTCTTGGCAGCAATCCTCTTGGCAATCCTTGGCAATCCTCGGCAATCCTCTTGGCGCCGTTGATCACGGCAATCCTGCTCCTCTCGCGGCAATCCTCTTGGCGCCGTTGATCACCCTCAGTAGTATTCATATTGCAATGTCGCTGTGAAGCCTCGATGAGGCGCGCTTCCAAGAAAACAACAACTTCATCAGGGGACCCGTAGCCTCGTAGATATGCGTACGTAGCTTACGGATCAAGAATGTCTTGCGCAGAGAGAAGAATAACAGTACGCTGTGGTCCTCGTGAAGGAGCCTGCGTTCGTGGATTCGATTCCATTCCAATATTTCTTGTGCCACCGAGGCGCCCATCAAGTGCTGAACATACTTTGGTGTGCACTCGCTGAGGAAACTGTCACGTAGGTTTTGGCCCAAGTGAGCTTGCACTTGTGCTCCCAGCCTTTGGAGCATCCCCGGGCAGGCAACTGCGATCTTCTATTCCACACGTCACACACACACACCAGAGTCAGTGCGCAATGTTCTCCCCGTCCATGCTTTGATGTGTCGGGATCACATGGGTACCTAACGTGTCCACGGCGATCATCGAATGCGGACCAGGCAGCTCTCGCAGCTTCTCTCAAGCCCCCTGTCGAAAACGCACCTGTGATGGTGCTCGTGCCGCTCTAATTTAAGCAGTTCCACCTCCATCTGAAATCCCCATGGGATCGCTGGCGCCACAGAAGGTCACCGGTGTGGCCATCAGCGGGAGGGAGGCCAGGATGTCACGTAGCCAACCGAAAAACAGACGAACTGTACGAAGAAAGGGCCGTCGCTGCTGTAGTCTTAATGGCTTCGGCGGGAAGTAAAGACTCACTGTACAAATATCACATCGTCCTCGCTTTATCCTCACTCCAAGACGCCGTCCTTTCAGCTCGGGTGGGGAAGCCCACGTCTGCAAGATCAATTGCTCGTAAAATCCGATCCCCAGGAGGATCGAAACACCCAGCACTGGAATGATTCAGCGAAGCTGAGGTACGAACGGAGCCTCCACGACCACACTCCCATGCAAAAGACGCTGAAGAACTGCACAAGCTTCGAGCTACTGCTGTCTGCCCACTGCTTGAGTTCCTGCTAAGAGTGTGAGATCGAAGTTGGGCGGTTCCACCACCACCTCCTCCAGCCTGTCCCCAGAAGATGGTAGGCGGTTCCACCCCAAAGGCAAAACTGCTGTGCCATCCTCGCCCCGAGAATGGCGATCACAACAGGGACGTGCGCAGCCCCTATCGACGCCGTGCGGTATGTGTGCATGGCTGACCCCTGCGATGTTGCAACTCCAGACAAGGGGCTCTGGGAGAAGGGGGAGGAGGAGGAGGGGAGGAGGAGGAGGAGGAGGAGGAGGAGGAGGAGGAGGAGGAGGAGGAGGAGGAGGAGGAGGAGGAGGAGGTGGCGAGGCGGGGGAGACCGGGAGGGGTACGGATGAGGAGAAAGGGATTATACCAACAGGGGCGCGAAGCATGAGGGAGGTGCTTACTGCGTAGCCGCAGGGGCAGCCCAGAGCCCGAGCTGGCGCTGCCGAAGAGAAGCTCTAAGCATCGACCGCGCGGCCCACGACTCCCTCCTCCACCTTCTCCCCCTCGTTTTCCTGTTCCTCCTCTTCCTCCTCTTCCTCCTTCTCTTCCTCCTTCCCCTCAGCCTCCTTCTCCTATCCGTCCTCCCCGACCTCCTTCTCCTCCCGGTGATCCTTGAATCCCGTACCTTCTTCACCCCCGTCGACGCATTTGTTCTAGGCATATACTAGCCATGACAGGGAACACGAAGCTCAATACCATGCGATATGTGGACGCATTCACATATGCTTGTAACGTTCTGTATACAGTATACAGACAGGGCTGCATGTAAGTTCATCATGGTGGAAGCACATACGTATATATATATATATATGTGTGTATATATATGCATACATACAATTAGTTAGACACAAACATACATCTATACATACATGCATACATACATACATACAGGCAGACACACACATACATACATACGTACACATACATACATGCATACATACATAGATACACACACATACATACATACATACATACATACATACATACATACATACATACATACATACATACATACATACATACATACACACACATACATACATACATACATACATACATACTTACAAACATATATATATATATATACACATAGATATATATATACACATATGTATACACATGCATGCACACATACACATGCTTGTATGTAAGCATAGACATATATATAGAGAGAGAGAGAGAGAAAGACAGAGAGAGAGAGAGAGAGATACTCCTCCTCCTCGTGAGCCGACGCCTGGCGCACTGCACCCGCTCTCCCCTGGGCGGGGGGTAGGCCACCTTCGGTCACGAGGGCCAGGCCTGCCACCTCGCCGACGTCGAGCTTCACCACCTGAGGCCGCAAGACGGCCGGGCGGGAAGGGGCGCGGCGCACAGGGTTGGGTCGGGCATGCCCTCCTGCAGGCGGGTTTTGGAAGAAAGCTGAGAAACAGTCAGCACATTTTGAAACATGGTCAAAAAGAGCCCGAAACATTGCCCCCATACTATGTTTTACTAATCTCGAATTTTCCTGGAGAAGGACATGCCCGACTGAAGGCAAGGAGGGGGTCGGAAAGGCAGCGCGCAGGGAACGGGGCGGAGAGGGAGGGCAGGCGGGGAAAAGAGGCAGGGCGAGTGGGAGGCGGGGAAGGGAGGCGTGACGAAGGCGGGGGGTGAAGGGAAGGGAGGCAGCAGGGCTGAGTGGATCGTGAGCAGGTGCGCTGCCGAGCGGCAGGATTGGCGCGCGCTCGCGCCACTGCCGCCGCACACCAAGACTTCTGGGCGCTCAGCCTGTTGCCTGTTCCGTGCGCGCTCTCGCGCTGCTCCGCGCCTGCAGCGGAGGGGGGAGGCCTCCACTCGCCACCCGCCCCCCTGCGGCCCGTGCTGCGGGGCGCTCTGGCAGGACGCGGGGCCGTCGAGCGCGAGCCCGGAGGCTTCACTCCGCGACCGGTGAGGAGAAGGAGGAGGAGGGGGAGGGGGGGGAGGAGGAGGAGGAGGAGGAGGAGGAGGAGGAGGAGGAGGAGGAGGAGGAGGCGGGGAGGAGGAGGAGGAAGGAGGAGGAGGAGGAGGAGGAGGAAGAGCGCCCAGCTGCGCCCCCACTGGGCGTGCGCCTTCGCGGGCGGGGCCGGGCCAGGGCGCAGCGATGCCGCGATCGGGGCCGCGGGTGGCGGCGTCGTGCGCGGCGGCCCCGCTGCGGGGGCCTCGCTCCGCGATCTGCGGCGCCTCTCTGCGCGATCTTACTGCAGGGCAGTTTTTCGTACATAGGAGTGTTTAAATGTAGGATGTTTAATACATGACTAATTTATGCATAAGTTTATGCATGAACTCATCGTTGCTTTTAATACTAAATCCCTGCATCTTTAATACATGATCCGCACGCGGAGCATGTATTGAAAACGGTACTGTACTGGCGGGACTGGAATAGAGGCCTCCTAGATGGGGTCGGAGTAGACGGGGTCTAAGGATCGCGTCGCATCAGCGATGCATCGGCGTCGTCGACGGTGCACCGGCGACGTCGACGTGAAGGAAATCGGGCTCCTCATCGAGCCGCATTCGGAGGTCCGCGCGGATCTCTCGGATCGGCGCTGGTGAACGTTTTCCTGTTCGGCGTTTCGACATTGGGCTGAAGGGGGGAGGGGGAGGCGGGGGGTCTGGCTCTGGACCTCTGCTCAGTGCGACTCTTTGCGCAAGTGCGTCCTCTGGGGCACTCCACTTGCTTGAAACGGCCGCCAAAAAAACAACCAAGATCATCTACTCCACCAGGGGGGGGGGTAAAAGGGGGGGGCTGCGAGGGCCCGCGCCGATCGGCAAAACAATGAATAGCAACAACGAGCACCTGTAGCCCCGGGGCGCCGCCTCTGGCGCCGCCTCTGGCGCGCTCCGCGCGGTAGGGGAGGGGGGCCCAGCGCCGATCCGAGAACTCTGCGCGGGCTTCCAACAATCATGTCTACAGTCGACCCGTATCACGAGGACGCACGATGAGGATGCGAAGGGCCTTGGAAGGCCATGTTGAAGCTCTGCGAGCGGGGCGCGGCCAGCGAAAGTGGCCAAGGATGTGCCGAAGGGGCAAGGCTGCCAGGGTAAGCTTGGGAAGGATGCCCATCCTTATGCGGGTCGACTGCATGTCCTTTTGCTCCCCGATAGGAGGCCTCGCTTCCCAGAGAGGCCGGGGCGGAGACCCCAACGGCTCGGGCCGAAACGGCTGCGCACGCCAGGGGCGGCCGCCCCTGCGTTCTCGCCACCATCCTGCAGGTAGAGGGGGCTGTGGCAACGGCACGGGCTTCATAAGAAGTCGGAGGGGCGAGGGGGGAAGAGCTTAAGCGAACTGAAAGCGCCGTGGTCCCAACCCCTTGAGATGGCACATGTTGGTCACATAACTCCTCACTGGCAACGAAAACACTTGCAACTCACGACGACTGTTCCGCAAATTCATCCAACCGGCACCCTTCCCAGACTCACCCGACACATTGCTCTGTACTGTCGGACGTCACGGTTAGATAGAAAGCCGCGGTGGCCTCCGCAGCAAGGCTGGCACCGAGCAGCGCCTCGGGCGACTTCAGGTCCCGGCAGCCGAGCGCCTCTGTGCTACCCCGCACTGGGAGAGCCTTCCTCCCAAAAGGCTGCCCAGGAGGAGGAGGCGGATGAGGAGCAGGAGGGGGAGGAGGGGGAGGAGGAGGGGGAGGAGGAGGAGGGGGAGGAGGGGGAGAAGGAGGAGGAGGAGGACGAGGAGGGAGGGGAGAAGGATTGAAGGAGGAGGGGGAGCGAGGAGGAGGAGGCAGGAGGAGGAGGAGGAGGAGGCGGAGGAGGAGGAGGGAGGAGATGAGGAGGAGGAGGATGGTGGCGAGCCAGCCTGAGGCAGAACATCCCTGATCCGCGCCAACGAGGGGGAGGCGGAGGGAGGAGGAGGTAGGAGGAGCAGGAGGAGGAGTTAGGAGCAGGAGGAGGAAGGGGGAGGAGGCCAGGGAGGAGGAGGAGGGAGGAGAGGACGGGAGGAAGAGGAGGAGGGGGGTGTAGCGGGAAGGGTAGGTAGCAGGAGGAGGAGGAGGGGGGAGGGTAGGTGGAGGAGGAAAAGGGGTGGAGGGGGGGAGGAGGGGGGATAAGAGTAGGAGGAAGAGGGAGAGGAGGGAGAGGAGGAGGAGGAGGGGAGGAGGAGGAGGAGCGGAGAGCGAAGGAGGAGGGAGGGAGGGCACGGGGGAGGGGAGGAGGAGGATTAGGTGAGGAGGAGGAAGGAGTGAGGAGGAGGCGGAGGGGGAGGTGGAGGATAGGAGGAGGAAAGGGGAGAGGAGGAGGAGGAGGAGGAGGAGGAGGAGGAAAGAGGAGGAGGAGGAGGAGGAGGAGCAGGAAATGTTGTGATTCGCTCAGGTAGGAGGACAGCTGTGTCGAGCGCTGGGTCCAACATCGCTCGTTGGGAACACGCAAATTTTCCGTCGGCGACGGGGCAGAGGCTGTCCGCTCCAGCGTGTGGCTCTTCGGGGCAACCGAAAGGCAAATTGTCTGGCGTGCAATGGAGAGGCAAAAGACGAGGGCGGCCGCGCGGGGGGAGGGGCAGGGGAAAGCGCCCAGACGTGGCAGTCGATCGCAGGGAACACAAGAGGCTGCAGGTGGGGGCCTCGTGGAGGGGGCGTTGCCGCTTCCCGTGGGGCGGGGGTTGGGGGAGGGGAGCCGGCACGGAGCGGAGAGTGCAGCAGGACGTCGCGGATTCGCCACAGGGGCACCCAGCGTGAACGGGGGAACGAGAGGGCGTTTCTCGTTTCCTCCTCCTCCTCCTCCTCCTCCTCCTCCTCGTCCTCCTCCTCCTTCTCACTCCTCCTCCACTCGCCTGCCCGGACCTTCCTCTCCCTCCCTCCTCCTGAGCTCCTACACTTCCTCGAAAAGTCGTCTGGGACAGTGGATTTTGAGGGGCGGCCCTCCCGAATTCCAGCGTCATCGTCACATGGCGCTCGCCGCGCCGGACGACGCGGCGAACCGCGACTCTCCCCGCTCTCGACGTCTCACTCGCGCAACTACATCTCGATCGGTCGGCGCCTGCTCCAGGGGCCCCATGTAGACCCCAGGGGAACAGAGCTGCAAAAGCACCTTCAGGGCCCCCCGAACCAGGGCATTGCGAACCACGACTTGGAGAACTCCGCCTGGAGAGAACGAACACTGGAGAATGTGCCGACCCGCGGTTGCAGTTCCCTCGGGTGCGCCAGCGTCTTGGCTCATCAGAGCCACCCTTGAGAGGGCCTCGATGGACTCTGAGATCCGACGCAGCGAAAACATGGGACGTCGACAACAATCACAGCAATCCCACAAACCACTGTGCCATTTCCCGAGCCCGATGGATCCGTGAGGGTCCCGGGGCGCCCGCCACCGGGCGAACACGCCAGGCTCGGCACGCTCCGGGCGCCAGAAATCCCCGGGGCGGCCCAGATTGGCAGCGAGCCTCCGCACGGATGGCTGCCCGAGGCGTTGGACGCCCGTGCCCAGCCGCTCGATCCTTCGGAGCACGCGGTCGCCCGAGGCGGCGGGCGCCCCCGGGCCCGGGGGGGCCATCCACGGAAGGCCTCCCGGACGGGGTCCGAGCAGACGGGGCCGGAGGATCTCGCCGCATCGCCGCTGCGGCGGCGATGCGCCGACGGTGCCTCGGCGAAGCGTCGGCGCCGTCGTCGGCGTGGAGAGAGCCCGGGCCCCGCATCGAGCCGCAGCGCCGACGCAGCGACGGTGCGTGCGCGGTCCTCCGACCCGTGCCTGCTCGGGCCCCCGCTGGGAGGCCCATGGCAGACCACTGCCGCCGGGGCGGCGCGCCGCCGGTCGGTGGGCGCC